TAAATGTAGTGGTTTAAAATATATTTATATATTCATCGTAATTTTCCAGAAGTGTCTATGAGATGAAAATATTAATCTTAAAAAGAAAAATATAAACTCTTGTATATATATTAATAGTCTCAAATACATATAGTTCCATATCAAAGTCTTTGAAATAGTAATCCTATAATTAAATCTTTAAAATCATTAGATGCTCAAAAATTAGTCTTTATAAAAATAAGGACTTGTCATATTTCCAAAAGTAGTCATAATATCTGGTCTCAAATTGTAATTTTCCAAAGAGGACATAAATCCAAGTCACACATTTCTCAAGATCAATCAACTGATTTTGTACACGAGATAGCCACATTTTGCATAACCAAATATTTTTGACAAATTTTCCAAAATTCATGAAGTCACAAATATAGTGATGGTGTAAAATAGTAATTTTAGCAGGTCTAAATGCTCCACATACATTCAAATAATATCAAATCTCAAAATTTGGAACATAATTCACATATACATTTTTGAAAATATTAACTAGAGGAACAGTTGTTTTGATTGACAGAAACACTTACCTCATTTCGCAATAAATCCTATTTGAAGCATTTATCTCGACCTTCAGAATCACCTTATAAAATATTAAAATTCTAGTATTAATAATTATTATTCTAATAGATTGAGATTAATTAGTCCATTTTAATTTAAGTCATTTATAATTATTCGGTTGTATCATATTAATCGATTTAACTTAAATTAATCAGTTCAATTTATTTTATTGTAGCCGGACTAGCCTGAAAATTTTCAACTTATCCAACGGTCCAAACTACTGAGTATAATTCTGGTCTATTTAATAAACATAACCAGTGAAGCCCAAAGATGATAATAATAATAAGTAAACGTACAGTACGTATTCCTCTATCGTATACGTGAAACTGTGAAACGCTGGTAAGAATATATGGTTGGTATTGCAGCCACGAGAGTTATGCAGTTATGCTGTTGATCACGGTCGGTAATATAATTCGTAGGATTATTGTTTGATGTTTTCGATATCATGTGTTTCTATTATGTTTATTCCAAATTGTTTAAGTTCCTTTTGGTCCAGTCTAATTTGTTTAGATTGAAAAATTTACTATTACCCCCTTCAAGTTATGTCATACGTAGTAGTTATTAATGGAACTTTACATTTTCCAATTCAATTAGTTGCCCTCTGAGTTTTGATCATTCTAACTATCACTCACGTTAATATTTGCTAAATTAAATTTAATATAACTCTTATTCAACGAAATTTGTCTATAAAATTAAATTTTAAAGTATAATAAAATTTATTATCATAATTTTAAGTCAATGTTGTTAATCGTTATTTTTCTACTTAATTACTCGATCGTGAAATAATTAATGATAATAGTTAAGAGGAAGACTTACGAGTAATATTCATGGGATATATCCAAAACGGTTGTTTAAAAATGTGTTAGCAAAATTCTAGGCACTTCTTCCTCATAAATATAAAATTCTTACTTATAATTCATCCGGTTGATGTAATCTCAATAACACTTTTTTCGTGTGTAGTAAAGAAGAAATACAAAGAAAAAAGAATATCATTGCATGACTTAATTAAAAGACGGGTCTAATATCAATAAAGGACCTAAAAGATAGAATGTGCCCATATAGGACTTGAATAATTAAAAACTATCAACCTAGGACCTAAAATATCATATATTTTGATTTATTTAAATTTTTTATTAACTATGTTACTGATTTGTTATGACTTTCTTGACAAAAGTATTTTTTTACTGCAAAAAGTTTATTAGTTTTATAAGATTAAATGCTATTTAATTTTTAAAAATATATATATTAAAATTCATGGTATTTTATATCTTACTCGTGAGTATTTTCCCTTAACTACTTTCAATAATATTTATTCCAGGATGGAGTAGCTAAGTAAAAAATAACGATCAACAGCATTGGCTTATGATAATGGTAATAATTTGGGTTTTACTTCACAAATATTCAATTTAACAAATATTAACGTGAGGGCGCAAAGAATGAGAAATTCAATCTCAGGGGTAACTAATTAATTTTTGAAAATGCAAGATTGCATTATTGATTATGACATCGTCATAGGGGGTTAATAGTAATTATCCCTTAGATTCAGGATGTTTTTACTTGGAATATTTTCGGTCACAAACCAGATCAGATCAGACTAAACAGACTTGTACAGTTGTAACATACACAAAGATCAGACGTTTAACAGATCAGATCAAACTTGATCAGACCAAAAATTTCGATCCAAATAAAAACATCCTTATCCGAACTAATGATTTGATTAGTCTCTTCACATAAATAGGTCTCCGCTTCAGTCCTTGTTAAGACTTGCCTATTCTACATTTCTACTATTCCCATTTTGGAGTTCCTGGAATTCCAAACCGGTTAATGACTTGATGCCTCATTCAGAAGGAAGACTAATAGACTATGGAAAGCACTTGTTTAGGCTATGAAACTAAATTGATAAACTTACTGAGACACAAATTGGGCCAGGACTGAACTCTAAATCAAAGATGATGAGGATTTTTATTCAAGTGTTGGGGCTTATATCATGTTTAATTAAGCCACAATGTCTAAATACAAGACGGATAATTCTATTCAAATCCTCCAAATTATATCATGGGATTGATACACCATGTGCATGGTGTACGGTCCCAAAACTACCTAGTTTTATTAATTAAAAAGGCAATCAACACTTTGTTCCGTAAAGTAAAACCGGGTTCTACCGATACGCAGCAACGCAAGATTAAAAAAAGGACCGCGTAATTGATGACAAATAGGTTGTCTATTAATCAAATTCAGGTTAATATAATTTAAATTTTGACTTGGAAAATTCTTTTGCTTTGATTTAACATCTAATAGGCTGCCTATTAATCGAATTCAGATTAATATAAATTTCTCCTTTCAGATTAATCTAACATGCTTTGATCAATGAACTTAATTGGTTTTTATATATATTGGAGCTACATTTTTTACACACCTTTATATTTTCATTTTGATGTGTGTGAGTTACAACTTCCAATGTGCGATTTAATTACATTTGGACTTGCCTCAACAAGTTACATATTCCATACACTTAAGTTACATTTTTCATCACTTCAAGTTACATTTGTCATTACATGAGTTACATCACAAAATAAACTCATACTATAGAAATTCGAAAAATCAAATTTTATGTCCCTGATATTAAAAAAAACATATTCACTATTAACGTAGAGTAATTGAGCAATTAAACTTTTTCATTGGTTACATTGAGATTAATGTTTTATTTATTGCACTCTGTATTGGACAAGTTACATTTGGACTGGTCTTCAGTTACATTGCTCATCAACATGAGTTACTTTTTTTACACGAGAGTTACATCCCCTGCTATTGAAAAAAAATGTTTAAGAAGTAGTGGGAGCACGGTGCTCACAGTATACGAACTGCCCAAATTGCTATCCACAACCATTTAACTAAATTAAAATAAATGAAAATAATTTAAATATCTAAATTACCCTTCTTACTACACAACTGGCTTTTCAAGTGATCCGGGAAGAACCCTTTATTACAGACCATCGTTCGAACTTCGAACTTTTGGTGATGAGAAAACTTTCGAGCTTCCAACTTAACATGGTAAATGATTGATATCTAATAAACGGGTGCTCAATTGAAGGGGAATTTTCCACCATAGTGAAGTACAAAGCCAGGAATGACAACTATTCATCGTAATCCCATGATGAATTGTGATTGATAAAAAGATGGAGTGTAATGGGATAAAGCCAACGTCTTTGCCCCTGATACAATCTTATATACCTTGATGGAGACATCCCCGGAGCCATTGCCTGATGTCAATTATGGAAGATATAAACTCGGCTATTCTCCGAGTGCTGAAGCTGCTTATATAAACCAGAACTTCTCCTCGCAAGTTCTGGTAAAGGAAGGGAGAGCCAAACCCATTTGCCCGCGAGGGAGAGGAGGTTGCCTCTGTTGCTTATAGGTTTAGAAGGTGGAAGCTTGATGATGATATCCTTCTGGTTGCTAGGTGTGAGGTGCAGTGCGTGATTGAAGCCAACAACCAGAAGTCAGTTTTGACAATTAAGGCATTGAATGAGTTTGATCACAAATCACAACTGACTTCGCTGCTCCGCTTCTTGTTTTGAATATGAGTCGAAGGTTCTAAAATGCCTCAAAACTCAAGCTATGTATAAGTACATGTAGGCATGGACTGGGCCGGTTCGGGCCGGCCTGACCCGTCACTGTGCAGGTCTGACCCGGTACCTGGCCTGTCCAGCCATCCCATCATTGTGCAGGCCTGACCCGACCCGCCCGACCTGATCCAGCCAACCGCGACCGAATTGGAGGCCCAAACCGGGGGTAGAAGGGGCGGGCTACGGGCTGCACTTTTGGTGGACCAGTCCGGGCCCAATTTTTTTTCTTTTTTTCTCATTGGGCTTCTGGTAGGTGGGTTGGGCTGGATGTTTTGGCGGAGTTTGGGAGTGGGAATGAATGCAAAAAGGGTAAAAAAAAAAAAAAATTACCCAACTTGTGCCCAGCTCGATCCCAGTCTAGACCCAGGACGGTACCAGGCCTGCAGCCCAAAAGCCTAATCCCACTTAGTCCCAGACCGGGACCGACCCAATCCGGGCCCGGTCCATCCCCAAGTACGTGAGGAACTGAGGATATAGTAGGAATTAAAAAATAATTTTATGTTTTACGGAAAATGGGTGAATTTAGAAAATAGAATTTCCCATACAAGATGGGACAAAGTCCAAATCAGATGACATTACATGTGAGCCCTGGACCGTGACCTATATTTTTTATTCTGAGCTCACCCGTCAGTCCTTTTTCATCTTTAAAATGGACTCCACCCCCATTTAAAAATGGTTCCCAAATCCCAATGGTTCTAATACAAAAAAAAATGAGGCCGGGACTGGGACCAGACTGAACCAGTGTACACCATCTCATTGACCAATATGACTACTACAGTGAAATAACAAGGTTTAAACCAATATGACTACTACAGTGAAATAACAAGGTTTAAAGTTGCAGATGACTTGTACTGGTTAATTAATAAACAATACTAATCAATCATGCACAGGAGGAACTGAGGAAGGGGGGTTCTGAACTTTTGAAAGTCAATGAACTGAATTATCACATGTTGTAATTACCCAGTCAAAAGTTCTGTACATAAACTGCCCTAGACGTATTTTCTAGTCTATTTATACATTATAAGAAGATGAACAAAACACATAATATTGAGAGTAGTTAAGAAACTACTCTGCGCTCCATTTGATATGATTTAAAGAATGAGATAAGTTCTGATCATGGTTGCCCCGGTTGGATCAGATAGCAGATGTCTGATCAGGCGTTTTCTCATGTCACTTGGTGCAATAACAAACATATACAAAGCAAATAACATGAGGTCCAATGAGGATAAGGTAGACCCCAGAAACCCCTGCCACATCCTACACAGAGAAAACATAATTACATGCATCTTAAGTCCTCTTTGAACTTCTTTTATTAGGCAAGACAGGTATTATTAGCACCAGTCTTTTGTGCTTCCTAAACAAGGGTGCTTCTTAACGTATATACAGTAGTCTTTGGTGAAAAGAGATGAGTACCACTTTGGTAAGCGGAAGAACGTGTGAAAAAATGCCCGCATTCCCTCAATATCGAGCTGCAATATAAGTGCCAGACCAAATAGGAAAAATGATCTTTGTCGTTTCCTTTCTTGCGGCCACAGCGTGCTCCAAGCTGAAACCAGATTTTCAACATTATATTACTCATGGTCCCACATCCTATTGGGGATGAAAACCCAAAGAGATAAAAGGGGCAACTTTGGTATATGTAGAAATGCCAATATAAAATGTTGATGAATGTAGAAACGTCAATATAAAATGTTGAGTTGTGCTATGCAAAAAGAAATGTTCTGAAATAAATTTGTGATTAAAGCTCTGAATGCATAGGAGGTGAGGAGGTCGTAATGAGATTTGGTGAAACTACTATAGTTGCTATTAAACAATAAAATTAAATGGCCAAAAATGATTAGAAAATATTCTATATTAGTGCAATGGTATGGAAATATCTTTTTGGCAACTGTGACCTCGAAGTGATCTTCAGAAAGAGTGACTCCAGTGAAAAATGTGAACGGATGCGCTTTTGGATCAATTTTATGCACTATCGCATCTAAATGATCCACTTTTTTTACATTGGCATAAACGTTTGGAACGCTTACCAAAATGACACCATGTTGTTTATCCAAATGACTGCACTGTTGGCATATATTGAGTCCAATGGCTCTAAAAGTTTGGTTTGTTTACCAAAAGACATCCAGTTACCGGTATATTATTATTTTTCATGAGAATGACTTTTGTATTTGAACCAATATACACACATATTAGATTGCATGAAAAAATACCTCCATTTTATGAAATATTACTCTATATATTGAGGCAATTTTTTTTTAAACGTTTCCAGATTTTAAGTGATTCTTTTAGAAATCTCTATCCTTTATCTCAAGGGAAGAGCTTCTACATTATTTTTTTTACAATGTTCAAGAAGGTGTTCTTTTTACTAGATAAATACTACCACCATTCTTTTTTAAGTGCAACACTTCCTTTTTCAAATTTGCAAACACACACCTTTGAACATTAAGGATGTTTTCTTTTGGACTGTTTTCAGTCCCAGACCGGACCAGATCAGACCGGACTTAAACAGAATAGACCGGACAGTTATAAAATACACACAGTTATAAAACACACAGAGATCAGACATTTACTAGACCATACCAAATCAGACCAGTAAATTTCAGTCCAAAAGAAAATTTCATACTATACTACCACCATCCGATAATGTAAGATACACGTGGATTTGGCCCGGTTTTTAAGAAAATAAAACATGAAGTGGTTGTTTTACAAATCTAACCTCCAAAAATTAAGAAAAAGTAAAATGAGTCCATAAAAACTAAATGGTGAAATGATAGATATAGAGATAAAGTAGAAAATTAAAAAGTTAGTGGAGTTCAATTTAGGGAAGTGTTTATATTTTTGGGAAAACCCAAAATGAAAAGTGTATCTTACAATATGGGACAGGGGGAATATTTAATTCTCTATTAGTATAACAACAACCAAACCTTAGTCCCATAAGAGCTTGAGGTCCGATAACACGAATCGACACATGAAATCGGAGCTAAAATGATAAGAAAGATAAAAAGATAAGGTAAGATAAAAAAAAGATAGCATAAAAATAAATAAAGATATATTCACGATAAAAGGATAAAAGGATTAAAAGAGATCAATCTTCCACACAAATATTCTTCCTTCACTAATTCTCTATTAGTAAAAAAATTAAAAACAAGATTTTGAAAATTCACGATGAGACAATTTTAACAATATCTTTCAAAAAATAATTTTTTGATACATTAATATATAAGATGTTTTTCCATCATTTGCAATGGAGCCAAAGATTCGTTATTTTTTGGCTTGAGATTATGATGGAATAAAGCAAAATGGCTCACTAAACTGTCTGCGCTTCTTTGTTATGGAGCAACAGTCAGTCCATGCAATTTTGGACGCGATTTTCACTATGGGTCATCTGGAAAAGTCTCTCTGTGCTTTAGTACAGGTGGGAGCCTTTGCGGCACTGGGGTAAATGAAAATGAAAAATGAAAATTAATATATAAGATGTAGTCAAAGTAGAACACGTGAATATTGTAAAATTCAACATGTTGCACTTATTTAAGAATAGAGGTATTATATAAGAAACAGAAGAGTAGGGACAGGGACACAATTATCATCCTTCACAATTCTTCTCAATAACATTCCCTTGTTTTTTAGTCCGGATCTTTTTTTCCTGCTACTTCTTCCCCTAGGTTTTCCTTAATCGACTACCATGTACTTCGTATTTCAATAGAATGATAGAACACTCTTCACACACTTCTATGTCTATCATGTACCTATAATGCAAACCACCACAACATTACCAAAATCGCATATTTTCCATACCTTTTGTTGAAACATTTTCAATATTTCCCGAACTCATAAGCATATCCACACCGCGACTTTGTTTCAAAATATTTGCTATGACTGATGCATATCTTGGGGCCTCTGACAACGACCTCACAACTGAATACCCTGTTTAGAGAAAGTGAAAATGTTGGAATACTACTGTATTTGAACTACATAAAATGTGGATTATCCTATTTCTACCTGTAGCAGGATGAACCATACTAGCAGCAGCACCGAATGCAAGGTTTTTTTGTTCTGTATTTGGCAGTGACCCACCAACTGGTATATAAGACCATTCCTGTATAAGTTTTGGTGAATCGCGGAATTGATTTGATAGTATCGTTGAGTACAGTCCTGAAAAGGATTTCAATTTCCTAGTCAGAGTATAAACACGCCAGGACTACCAGAATTACCTCTTCATAAGTTTTCTTTATTCGGACACCCATTGTCTCCAGTCTTAATAGTAGTTTCTTCTTCAAGAGCTCCAAAGGCATAGCTTCTTTTGAAGCCAGACAAGTTTCCTGCAAAGTACACTTGCATTGCATAAATATGTAAGATGGGGTAGACGCTAAAGCATCCAGCACTAACCTCAAAAAAGACTCTTGTACCAGACATGGGCATTGCATAAAGAAAAGTTGGGAATTGTGCTTCTAAAGAGTGAACTTTGTGTCTGGCATAGTCTCTGTAATCCATGAAAACCATCAGGCTGGGGTCGTATGGATTGTTCTCCACCTATAAAGTAATAAGTGCTGAAAATCATATACCAGCTTCACCTATCAAATTTTACTATTTCAGTGTCATACTCAAGCAAAAAAGACTTTTAAATCATCTTTTCAAATTAAATTAAATTTAACCCATCAAGTACTACGTAGTAGTATTTCCTGTAGACAACTAAAGAACAGAACTACACAAATTTCTCATTTAAACCAAAGAGCCTATCTAGGTATTCATGCAACCAAAATCATTTGCAGAAACCAAGGAGCACAAAGGTTCATAACATATTCTTCCTCGTTGACTATTTGAACATTAATAGTCAGCTAGCGGAACCAATTTCTCATTCAAAGACAAAGAGCCTATCCACGTATTCACACAACCAAAATCATTCACACAAAGCATTGAGCGCAAAAGGTTCATTACATAAAGTTAACTTTGATTCACTCATTCACGATTAAAGCATAGTTACTCAGCTAGAAAAAAAATCATAACTTTTTAGTGCATAGCATTAAAAGAGAATACAACAATAAATAATTTAGCCTCATAAAGGTTTAGAGAAGAAATCAATGGTCTACCTCAACCTCCATGCCATAAGCTGTTTGAACCGAAACACTTGGACCCCCAACCTCATACTGCAACAGTTTTCCTGAGGCTGCCCCAGATGCAACAGTAACTAGCCTATAATATAAACTTATGTTTTCACACTATTATTTTACGTTTCCATTAATAATCTGCAAAGTCAAGCAACCACATACCTGCATGGAATGATGATGTTGCCTTCACATTCTACAAGATTCTGACCATATGTGTTCTCAACAATCCTTTCCACTTTCAAGTTAAGATATGAAACTCCTGAATCCAAACACCTGAATGACTAAGGACACTTTATTGATGCATGACATTCAAAGTAGCCGAAAGGCCAAAATTAATATTTTAAATACTATTACTGGTTTCAAAAGTAATAATGACATCATGGTTATGCATTAGTAAATGTTTAGATATTACCTTTTCAATAACTCTTCATGGAGCAAATGGCGACTGACACGTCCGTATGCACGACCAATAAGAACAGGATCACCAACGTCGAGATATACAATGGTGTCTCGCCAAACATGTTCGATGCATCTCATAAGCCCAAGATCTGAAAAGAGAGCAAGAATATATGCCAGTTGTACATGGCAGTTCCCACATTTTTGTTTTACGATTTTAAAAGGTGTATGATGCTGTATCATGATTCATGAACTAAAAATAGTCATACTTATAGTGATTATGTTAATTTTGACAACTGCAAACAAATTTCTATAATCAACATTTTCTGGTTTTCAGAATCATGTTTTTAGTTTTCAAAACAAAAGTGGAAAAGATGTGAAAGAAGACTGTGGGCAGTGATTTCTGAAAACTGACAAAAGGATATGAACTGGTGGTTCTTATCTTTCATTATCCCTATTTACTGTCCTCATATCTAATGAATGCACTCAAACATGTTATAAAAATAGAGGTCTGCAGGAAACAACACAATGTGTGACATATCAAGACAAAATAACAAAATAATGAGTATGACAAGTAAAGGTTATTACCTTTGAACTCATCTTCCCAGACCCCATAGTTATTTGTAAAAGGAAGATCAGGCCCAATGAGCCCCACATTTAAGCCCAACTTAGCTGACTCAGCAGCAAGTGCAAGGCCAGCAGGACCACAACCAATGACTACCAAGTCTAAGATTCGTTTATCAACAGATATTGGCGGCAACTGCAAGAGGAGACAAAATCTTATGACTTAATATTATAAAATTAAATTGACAAGTATACAGATCTATGTGCAGCATATTAGCAGTTAATTTTTATGACTCTAGTCTAGTCATGCCCATTGCAATTCCCTTATTTATGTGAACTTATAATCTGTTTCTAAAATCTAAAATTCAATAAGCAGGAAATTAGATAGTGTAATTGAACCAACCTACATCACAATAATTAACTCCAAGGTCGATTCTTGGCTGGGCAATTCAAAGAATATTGTACACTACCAATTTGGTCCCCGAGAGTGATTAATCATGGATGATCAGATAATCAGACTAAGTAGCCTTAACATACTTATTCGTCTTATATGTCTTAACATACTTATATGTCTTAAATGGATATGTACAAAATGTGAACAAAATCAAAGACCTGTAACAAGCGTTCTAATAAACATAAATGACAAAAAATGGAATTTATTCAATTTTTATTATTGCCCGATAATTCAATAGAAGACTATAAGCTACTCCATATGTTGAATCAAATGATTTACAGTACGTTTACTTCATATTCACGTTGAAATTAAACATTCAAGGTTAACATCTACTCCGTATTAGCAATCGCCACTAAACACCACAAATTGGCTAAAATTACGAGTAGGAACATGCTAGCATGCAGATAACGATTGATAGCAGAACAGCTAAAATGATTCTAATAACCAGAATGTTACTTTAGTTACAAATGAACTTAGGAATAAAGATATTCACCATGTTCAAAAGCTTAGACTGTCCCTCCATGTGTTTGTTCTGTTGCATTTGGACAAACAAAATCTCTGAACCACCAGCCTTAACATAATCATCTTTGTCGGCGAACTCTTCTTTCACCGCCACACCAGAACTGCTGCTCACGCACCTAGCTCGTAGAGCTGCAGCTGCCGACTTCGATATATACGCGCGGTTTCCCGTGGGCCAGGCCACGTGCTTTTCACTCCTCAGCCTCTTCCTGCAAAACCACTTCACCACACGACACGGAGAGACCGTCATTGCGGATAAGTTCAGCTTTCCGATACAGTCCATTTTTGCCCGAATTTGTAGCTGACTAGTTTGACCTATTCCAGAATACCGGCTTCAGTTGCATTGCCAGTTGCCACTTCCTGTTTCCCTCTGGAAAAAGTAACTAGCGAGTAGCGAGTAGCGAGTTTTGAAGCTTTTGGTTGCTAGGTTCTGTTGTGGCGGGAGGAGCAGATTGGTGATGGATAAGAAGGGGACCTGAGTCATGACGTGCTAAGCTATCATAATTTGACAGGTGGGAGGATTGCATTCGGAGAATGGGAGGTGGTGATTCTTCAATTCGATTCTGGCCTTCTGGGGCAAGAAATAGATAATAAATGACATTACACGATTATATCCCTTATAATTTTGTAAACTTTTGTCACATTAACTTGTCACATTAACTTTATCATTTTTCAATTAAGTAAAGAATTTGTTGTTCCAAATAATTCTTTCATCTGCACAAAACTCAATCACACAATTTTTACTTTATTAATCATTGTACCGGTCAAACTTGGCAAAGTTTTAAGGGACGAAGGTAGTATACGATAGTATTAAGCAAAACTTGCTCTTCTAAACATTTTTTGTTTTTATACGCACCGATTTAGACGCTAAGATACAAAACATACTCCCTCTGTTCCGAAAAGGTTCGTCAAATTGACTTTTCTTGGTCAATGACAATCAACTTTGACTAATGATATTTCTTAATATGGAATTATTTAAAATATAAAAATTATATCAAAATGTTCCTCATTCAAAATATTTTCATAAAAGTATAAAATTTATAAATTACATACAAATATAGTGATTAAAATTATCGTCCAAAGTTTGTTATCATTTACCAAGAAAAGTCAATATGACGAACTTTTTCGGGACGGAGGTAGTAAATAACACAGCGGATTGGTGGGTGTAGTCCAATGTATGACCATCCACCTCCGAGTCTATCATTTGCAGGAGGTCTTGGGTTCAATTCTCATGAAGTGAAGATGAGGGAGGTCTTGCTCTCAATGAGAGGAGCAGCCTGAAAGGTCATGTAAGTCCTGCTGGATTCATAGATTGCAGTATTATTGGAGCGTAAGCCCCGACACCTAGTTTATAAAAAAACACCAATTTAGATACTCGATACCAAACATAAATAACAAGTGAACAGATCATTCACACACAAAAACAGTTGTTCACAGACGAGTCTAAAACTGTGTGTACAAAAGTACAAATACATTTTTTATAGTAAGTGGGAGATTTGAGTGGGAGATTTAACCTTTTAGGGTCGAAATTGCATTTAAATTTGTTCTACTTGACAAACTTCTAGTTTCTAAAAGAAAACTCATTGCTAATGTTAAAAATCATTTTTTTAACATACCCGATCGGGTGTCACCCATCTACATAGGAAATTACCTTCTACATCTGCATCAACACACATCTGAACCCTTGAATGCTCACATCACTATAGACATCATACCCCATACCTTATTTTAGTAGGGCGAGTATCGGTGCCTCAGTTAACCTCTTCTTCAGTTCCAAGAATCTCTTCTGACATCGGTCATTCCATACAAACTTAGCTCCTTTTCGAGTGAGCTTCGTCAATGGTGATGCTAAAACTGAGAACTTCTCCACGAACTTTCTATAGTATCCCGCTAGTCCAAGGAAACTAAGAATCTCCTTCACGTTCTCAGGCCTTTCCCATTATGTGATAGCCTTAATCTTCTTGTTGTCCACGACAATGCCTCACTCAGAAATCACGTGCCCAAGAAAGCCAATCTCTTTAAGCCAAAACCCACACTTAGAGAATTTGGCATAGATCTGCTTCTCTCGTACTGTTTTAAAAAACCAGAACCAAATGCCTCTCATGCTCTTCTTCATTCCTCAAGTAAATCAAGATGTCATCTATGAACACGATCACAAACTGATCCAAGTACTTGTGGAATACTCGGTTCATCAAGTCCATGAACGCCGTCGGGGCGTTAGTCAGCCCAAACGACATAACCAAGAACTCAAAGTGACCATACCTTGTGCGGAAATCCCTTTTCGGTATGTCACTCTCCTTGATCTTCAGTTGGTGGTATCCTGACCTTAGATCAACCTTTGAAAACAATGTTGCCCCTCATAGTTGATCAAACAAGTCATCAATCCTAGGTAGAGGATACCTATTCTTGATTGTTGTTGTAACCCTTGAGATTTAATTTAAACGGATTAATAGTACCACTTATACCAACAAGGTGCATCTCCTTTTAAGGAACTCATTAGCCAAGAACTCCAAAGTTAAGTGTGCTTGCACGGGAGTAGTCTTAGGATGGATGACCCCCTGGGAAGTTTCTCAGGGCGCGCACGAGTGAGGACAAAGTGCGCAGAAAAGGCTAGTGGCGGTTTGTGAGGACAGTACTAGAGGTCAGAAGTAACTACCTCGGGGCCTACGGGGCCGGGGTGTTACAGGTGGTATCAGAGCAACCATGCGACAGTGTGCTAACTCGTTGGATATCGGGCAAGCACTTAACGGGGGAAGATTCTGAGATTTGATTGAGATTTGAGATTGGTTTATGGGCGCAACGAGGACGTTGTGTTCCTAAGTGGGGGTGATTGTAACCCTTGAGATTTAATTTAAACGGATTAATAGTACTACTCATACCAACAAGGTGCATCTCCTTTTAAGGAAGCTCATTAGCCAAGAACTTCAAAGTTAAGCGTGCTTGCACGGGAGTAGTCTTGGGATGGGTGACCCCCTGGGAAGTTTCTCAGGGCGCGCACGAGTGACGACAAAGTGCGCGGAAAAGGCTAGTGGCGGTTTGTGAGGACAGTACTAGAGGTCAGAAGTAACTACCTCGGGGCCTACGGGGCCGGGGTGTTACAGTTGCATTGTTCAATTGTCGGTAGTCGATACACATTTGTAGGGTCACATCTTTCTTTTTCACAAAAAGAACTGGTGCTCACCATGGTGAATAGATCGGTCTAATGAAACCGTTATCCAATAGCTTTTGCAATTGGGTTTTCAACTCATTCAGTTCAGTCGGTGCCATTCGGTATGGTGGTATAGATAATATTAGTTTAGTGTCGGGCTCGACCTCAATCACAAACTCAAACTCCTTATCAGGTGGAAGCCCCGGTAGGTCTTTAGGAAAGACATCCGGGTATTTACAAACAACCCTCACGTCATTGATATTTGTCTCCTCCTTGGTCTTGTCAACCACGTATGCTAGATATGCGTGGCATCCCTTTCACATCATATATATACTCCTTGCTCTCACGGCAAATATGATGCAACTGTTTGATTTGACACGATCACCCTCGAAGTGTAGAGTATTCCAATCATTGTCTTCGAGTTCTAGAACCTTCGTATAGCAATCGACCCTAGCATGATGCTTTTCGAGCCAATCCATTGTAACCATAGGATTGCATCGAATTCAATCATATTCGGCGGTACGAAGTCACACGTTAAGGTTTGGCAATTGACTTCCACCTCACAAGATGGATAGTAACTAGTTCTATCAACATCATCCCCTAGTGGTTTTGATACCATTATGGTTTGTGTCATCGGTATCGATTGTATCTCAAAGTCCTCGGTGAACGCCTCACTCACGAATGAACGTTGTGCCCAGGTATCGATATGGATTCTCACATCTCTCCCATTAATCATTAGCATTCCTACATTTATAAGCCATGTAAGATACCTCTCTAACATACCGGATCTTATTTTTATTATTATAAGCAAAGAATTGCAAAGAATGTGAAAGGGATTGCTTTTAAGGCTACTTTTGCTATATGTCTTTGGAACTTCATACAACTCGTAGTCGTGTTGTTATCATTTCTTTGTGTGATGGTCCAACAATACTCATGAGAGTTCCATCACATCTAACCATAACATATCAACAACTCCTATGAAGAACATAATTCAAAATTATGTCTTTATAGTGGACATATTGGTTAATGATGGTAGACATTCGCAGTTGAGATAAAAACTAGCATCACCTCACCGTTTTGATCATATCTCTTAACATACTCAACCAAATCATTCTATACAAACTCCATAATTTATTTATTGAAAATATCTACAACTTTTATGAAGAGAACTTTTTCATTTGATGAACACATAGAGGTGTACTCGGTCGGTTATTATGGCTATACCCGATCGGGTCATTTTGGCAGTCTGCCCTGAATTGTGGCACTGAGAGATACCTGGTCGGGTATCACTCATAGCCGATCGGGGTTTTTAGACAGTGTGTGATAAAAATAATTTCTTAATATACCCGATCGGGTGTCACCCATACCCTATCAGGTTCGTGAGGCAGTGTCTCAAAAAACACATTTTTTAAAGACACTCGAGCGAGTAACATGTATACCAGCTCGGATTTCTTCCTTAGTAGCCATTTTAAGCCCTATTTTTACCCTACGGTGACCGAGCCTCACCCCCTAGAACATATACACATTAAGTAAGGCTAGAATACCATATTCTCATGATATATTGCCTGCAACGGAATCCGGGTTCGCCCGAGCATCTGCCTCCGCCATCGCATAGACTCTCGCTTAAGTCCTCCCTTGGTTCACGGACGGCGTGTTGCTTGCGCTTGGTCCCACCCGATGCAAACCCTTCCGAGTTCTCCTTATCCCTAATTCCATCATCGCCTCCCATCGCTAAAAGAATTATTTAGAATGAGACATTAGACTCGTTTCAAATGTCAATTGACAGGTAGACACTTAATACATCTCTTGGGCCAAGTCACTGACATACCAATCGTTAAGGGCGCCAGCTTAACAATTAGAGGCCTTGCAACTCAAAAACGAGAAGTTCTTAAGTACAAAAACTTTCCTATGCTCATGGTTTTTCAAAAATCATTTTTGAAAAATAGAATTTGGAGACTTCATTATGAAGTTTATGGACTAAGGTTTTGATACCAATTAAATTGTCACGCCCCGGACCTACCCGAACACATCAACAACCCGTCGTACAATACGAATAGTCAACCACAATCAAATACATCCATATTATACAAGGCATCTCGAATATCATTCACACATAAGTCATCCATAAACATACATAATAAGCAATTCAATACACAACAGAAAACATAGTTTGAAAACAAATGTCATACGGGGCAAACACGAGTACGCAGACTCTATGGTAAAATATCCATGAGCATGTTTATTAACGTTCAAAACAGAATGGAGAAGGTATGAACCAAATCTTCTCTCCAAGATGATCATCCGAACAACGGGCACAGGTAGCAAGCTCAAGCCTCAACCTGAAATGGTGGTGGGATGCCCCCGAAGGGGTCAATACTCTATATG